TGATGGTCACAAGGCTGAAGCGCCTTGGTGAACACATCAGCAGTGTTGGCCTCAGAGGCCACGTAACGCTGACGAAGCTGACCACGCTGCTGCAGCTCTCGAGCAAGGAAGTAGCGCAGAGCAATGTGCTTCGTTTTGTGCTCCAGTCTGTGCTCCTGACACAAGGCAATGGCTGCCTTGTTGTCGACGTACAGCACTGGAGGAGAACGAGGCCGCTCTCCAAGGTCGGTCAGCAAGTAGGTGAGCCAGCGTAGCTCGTGGGCCGCCATGGCTGTGGCGTAGATCTCAGCCTCACAACTGGAGCTGAGAACAGAAGAAGAGCGAGTAGAACGCCAAGAAACTGAACCAGAGCCAAGACTGAAGGTGTAACCCTGAGACGACCGCTGAGTAGCCTGGTCGTCTGCCCAAGAAGCGTCTGAGTGCCCAGTGAGAACAACTGGGACTCGCCCTCCAAGCACTAGCCCCATGCCCAACGTACTGCACAAGTAGCACAACACCCTCTTAGCTGCATCCATGTGCTCCTTCCGGTGACGGCCGGGAGCGACATAGCGTGCAAGAATGCTAAGAGGGTATGCAAGGTCAGGTCGAGTGCAGGTCATCAGGTACATGAGGCAACCCACAAGCTCTGGATACGGGCCACTCGGCTCTACGGACTCATCCAAAGGCAGAGCTGAGAGCGAGTGGCAAGTAGGTAGAGGAGTGGGCTGAGGCGAGGAGTACGTGAAGCGGAAGCGCTGAAGGACCTGCTGCACCATGTGTGACTAAGTCAAGGTGATGGTGCGGCGTGCTCTGTCCCGGGTGATCCGCAAGCCAAGATAGCTTGTCAGTTCACCCAGGTCTGTGCATGTGTGTCTCTTCTACAGCTCCGACTTCACGTGGGCGAGTGCCGCAGTGTCAGCAGTGGCAAAGACCAAGTCGTCGACGAACACGAGGATGTAGAACGGCGGCAGTGAGGCGTCGGTGCGTAGAAACAGCGACGGGTCAGCTGTAGAAGGCGCGAACCCAAGAGCCGCAAGTGTAGTCCTCAGTGTGTCTTGCCACTCACGTGGCGCCTGGCGGAGACCGTAGACTGGCCGTTGGAGGCTCCACTGGGTACCAGGAGGGAACGACCCAGTGAAGCCAGGTGGGCGGCGCAGCCAGATCTCCTCGTGCAGGCTGCCCTGCAGGAAAGCAGTGCTGAAGTCAAGAGAGTGGAGCTCGTAGTCACGCTGAGCGGCGACGTGCAGCAGAACCCGAAGAGTGGTCATCTTCGGGGTCGGGGAGAAGGTGTGGAAGAAGTAAACTCCCTCTCGCTGACTGAAGCCTCGTGCAACGTACCGCGCCTTGAAGATAGGCGGAGAGCCCGGCGGCCGCTTCACCCTGAAAATCCACATGCCACTGACGATGTTCGCCCCAGGCGGGGGAACCTCGTCGACGTAGGTGCCTTTGGACTTCCAGGAGGCCATCTCTGTGTCCATGGCTGACTGCCACTGAGAGGAGTAGGGACCGGCCATCGCCTCTGCGTAAGAGCGTGGGGTCGGGATGTCTGGTGCATCCGGGTCTCCCTCAGGGGCAACAAGCATGGACACGAGATGGGGCAAAGCGGCAGCAAAGCACTCAAACTCCTCCTACCTGTCCTCAAGGACGTCAGTGCCAAGAGCACACTCACCCCCGACAGACGGAGGACAGACAGACTCAGACTCAGCAACTAGGCTAGCGGCATAGTCTAGACGACAGGTGGCAGCAAAGCCGACAAGCTCAGCAACTAAGGCAGATGCAGCAGCGGACTCAAAGGAAGGGTCAGTGACAACAGTAGCCAGGAGACGCGTGACAGTAGGACTGGCAGCACGAAGGGAGTCTGACCCCAGGTCAGCAAGAGCAGGAAGAGAGGACGCAGGAGGAGACGGCAGTGGGACACGCTGTGGAGCAGTGGAGGGACGAAGCGCCATCCGGTGAGTGCCTGGGACAGCAGGAAGAAGCTGACGCGGGACACGACTACCAGTGAGAGCTGCACGGACAGGCGATGCACGACGAGACTCGGGCGATGCAGGACGAGACTCAGGCTCACGACGCTCAGTAAGACCTCCAGTCGGACCAGTGTAATGAGTAGGACCAGGGAGAGAGGAGGTAGACGGTAGCTGCGACTTCAGCTGGACAGACGGAGGACACCCTAAGGAGGGAGGAGGACAAGGAGGAGGGAGCTGACCAAGAACCCGCTGAAGGAGCGGAACAAAGTACGGCCGCGACTGTGCAGCGACTCCAGAACCAGGGTCGTCAACAACAGCAGCAGCTCCAACTTCCGGGTCCTCAGCACCAGCCGCAGCTCCAACGCCCGGGTCCTCAGCACCAGCACCAGCACCAACGTCCGGGTCCTCAGCACCAGCCGCAGCTCCAACGCCCGGGTCCTCAGCACCAGCAGCAGCACCAGCGTCCGGGTCCTCAGCACCAGCCGCAGCTCCAACGCCCGGGTCTTCAGCACCAGCAGCAGCACCAGCGTCCGGGTCCTCAGCACCAGCCGCAGCTCCAACGCCCGGGTCCTGAGCACCAGCCGCAGCTCCAACGCCCGGGTCCTCAGCACCAGCAGCAGCACCAGCAGCAGCGGGGTCTGCGACACAAGGCGCACCACTCCGAAGAGTGCAGCCCCGCTCGTACCACTCACGGATCCGCTCACGGGAGGGGACCTCCCGACTAGGAGGAGAAGCACTAGCACCAGTCTCAATAGTACGCCTGGCTCCAGAGGTACCACTCCTGAGGCTGCAGTACTGTAAGTACCACTCACGCAGCTGCTCCGATGAGAGGGCTCCTCCAGGTGTAGGACTACGAGGCTCAGCACCACCAGACTCAGAACCCCCAGACTCTTGACTCTGCAGCTCAGCACCCGCAGGCTCAGCACCTCCAGGCTCAGCACCCCCAGGCTCAGTACCTCCAAGCTCCGCACTCTGAGGCTCCGCACCCCCAGGCTCAGCACCCCCAGGCTCCGCACCCCCAGGCTCCGCACCCCCAGGCTCAGCACCCCCAGGCTCCGCACCCGCAGCAGGGCGAGAGTCGACAGCCACCTCAACAGGCTCAACCGGGTCTACCTGAGACACACTTGAGGGAGCGGCACCCCGAGGGGGGACGGGGTCTACGACAGCAGCACCTGGCGCGAGGAAGAGAGGCGGGGGGGGGAGCGGGGCAGTGCGGTAGGGGAAGAGGCGATAGTAGGGGACGGACTCGTCAAAAGTGACGTCCTGAGCGGGCAAGACTCGGCGCAAGGTGGCGTGGTAAAACTGCCAACCAGGCGCGTCCGGGACAAAGCCGAGGAAGACGCAGGGAACAGCACGGGAGGAGAGCTTGTCCGCAGACGTATCGCGGACAAAAGCTCGAGATCCCCAGACCCGGAAACGCGACGCATCGCCAACCTCCCCCGTCCACAACAGTGTGGGCGAGGTCTCCGGCAAGGAGACACGGGGCCAGAGGTTGAGCTGATGCGCAGCGTACCGGACCGCAAACGGCCACAGAAAGTGGGGGGCAGCCGCATGGATCAAGGAGGTACGGGCGACCTCCATGACCAGGCCAATGCGGCGCTCCGCAACCCCATTCTGTTGTGGTGAGGCCGGAAGCGTGAACGACTGCTCAATGCCGTGCTCAGCACAGTAGGCTACCAAGAGGTCGGAGGAGAACTCACCACCTCTGTCAGAGTGCAAGCGCAGGACAAGAAAGTCCGAGTGGAAACGCTCGCTGAGCTGGAGACGGGCTCTGCGGATCCAAGGGATCAAGACATCAGGGACCTCACCCTTGGTGCGCAAGGGGAAGACCGTGGTGTAGCGCGAGTAGTCGTCAACAACTATCAGGAAGTACCTCTCTTGACCCTGACCACGGACGCGGGCTGGGCCCCACACGTCCATGTGGAGCGTCTGCAAGGGAGCAGTCGTCGGGGGAAACGAGGAGGAGTGAGGAGCGGCGCGCTGCCGCCCCTCGACACAGGGAAGACAGGGAGGAGCAGGTGAGGTAGGGAGGGGAGGAAGGACCCTGGGAAAGCCAGAGACAAGGTACCGGGAGTGCATGGCACGAAGCTGCTGCAGAGACGGGTGACCAAGGCGGTGGTGCCAGAGGACAGTCTCGTGTGCCAGAGAGCGACACGAGCAGGGGGGCGACAGCTGACCTGACGCGGATGCAGACGCAGACGCAGCAACCTGAGGGGACTCAGTGGTCAGTGTGTACACGTCCGACCCCGGCTGCTTAGTGAAGGTAGCCAAGTGACGGCCCGTACGAGGACACGTGCAGTGTGTCACGCGCTCGTAGGCAGGGGTGAACTGGTGAACTCCCCCGTCCTGGAGCGCACATCCTGCCACCAGGTTCGTAGAGAACGAGGGGAGGTGGAGACCTGACAGTGTGCCCGACGGGACCGCAGGACAGGGAAGGAAAGTGGAGGAGGTCGCAATGACCGGACCCCCAGAGGGGTCAGCAAGGGAGACAGCAACTGGCCGAGCAAGCGGCTCAAGGGCAGTGCGGTCACGAAAGAAGCAGCGAGAAGCACCTGAGTCCAGTGTGAAGGTGTGTAGTGCTGCAGTCGACTCAGTACCAGGGGGGGCAGACGCACAAGCACCTAGAGCAATTGCCTCACCAGCACCTGGGGTAGCAGACACGCGAGTACCTGGAGCGGCAGACGCTCTAGACCTAATGCCCGGGTCGGGCGGCACACACAGGTACTCAGCACCCTCTCCACTAGTAGACATCACATACATAGCAGATAGAATAGCATCAAAGTCTAGAGCATAGATATCAATGTTTTGCTTCATCAGATCAGCCCAGCGGGGCAGCTCAGTGGCCTGAGGGAACTGAACACACCAAGCATCGTTGAGACGAGCGAAGCAGCGCTGTGTGGCGTGCGGTCCCCCACACGGCTGACCAGTACGGTCACCCGTGCGAATGACGTACGTGCAGCTAAAGCCACCCCCCCCCCCCCCCCCCCCCCCCCCCCCCCTGTGCTGTGAGTACCACTCACGGACCTCCTGGGGCGATGGAGTGTGCTGCTGGCCCTAGCCACCGCCAGCGCCTCCACGACCACCACCGCCGCCGCCACCTCCTCTACCACCCCAACCCCTGCCGCCGCCGCGTCCACCACCACCCCCACCACCGCCTCCGCCCCTGCCACCTCCCCCGCCGCTGCCGCCACCACCCCCACCGCTACCACTAGCCCCACCAGTCCCACCACCACCCCAACCGCCGCCACCACCCCCACCACCGCCTCCCCCGCCGTCACCACCTCCGCCCTTGCCCCCTTTGCCCTTGCCGCTGCGGCGCCCGCTCGAAGCAGACGCAGTCCCGACCTTCTCAGCACCAAGGAGGTCGACAGCAGCAGCAGAGGCGACAGAGGGAAGAAGGGGGGAAGGAGAACACCCCTCAAAGAATGGGGTACGGGGTTCGCCACGAGAGGCACCTACAGCTACGATGCTAGCCTCAGCTGCAAGCAGTTCCTTCTCGAGGAGGGCAATGGTGAGCTCAGTGGGGTAGCGAGCTAGGAAGTGATCCGTGACAGCACGCAGAGTGTCAGGGAGGTGGGTGACTAGGTGGTAGAGAGTGAGTCAGAGTGGGGGGGGGGTGCGTGGCAAGGAACTCATCAGGCATGGCGGCACGGAAGCGGGCCTCACTAGTACGGAGGTGCGTGATGAGGTCAGCGACTGTGTGGAACGAGGCCAGGTCGGGAAACAGGTAGGGGAGGGAGAGACGGCCTAGCGCGGCAGAGGCAGGTGAGGAGTAGCGAGCAACGACAGCTGTGTACAGTGCCTGTGCAGTCTTGTGCTGCCCAAAGTGCTCGCGCTCGTCTATCGGCAGGGAGTTGCGAATAGCGAAGCGAGCGTGGGCATCACGAGTCTGCCACTGTGAGCGGGCAGTGCTGTCAGCAGTAGCAGCAGGGGCAGTGACATGGCCTAGGGCGTGGTCGTACAGTGAGATGTCATCCTTGGCTGTGAGCTGTAGATAGAGGTGCAGGTCGTCTAGCCAGGTGTCAAACTTCACTGGGCGGCCCTCAGCATCGAAAACTAGCACCTGTGGGCTAGCCATAGGAGCACTAGGAGTAGCAGTAGGAGTAGGAGGATGAAGCAGATAGGGCGGCTCGGTTTAGGTAGGGCGGCGCGGCTCGGGTGGGGCGGCGCGGTTCGGTTCGGGTCGCGCGGCTCGGCTCGGGTCGCGCGGCTCGGTTCGGTCCTTGGCGGCTCGGTTCGGTCCTGGGCTGTGGCGGTCACGGGCCGTTCGGGGCCTCTAGGGGCGGTGAGTGCGGGGCCGACGGGGCCGTTCGGGGCCTCTACGGAGGTGAGCGCGGGGCCGTAAAGGGGCCTCTAGGGGCCGACGGGGCCGTTCGGGGCCTCTAGGGGCCGACGGGGCCGTTCGATGCCTCTAGGGAGGTGAGCGCGGGGCCGACGGGGCCGTAAGGGGCCTCTAGGGAGGTGAGCGCGGGGCCGACGGGGCCTTTCGGGGCCTCTAAGGAGGTGAGCGCGGGGCCGACGGGGCCGTTAGGGGCGATCGCGGGGCCGACAGGGGCCGCTAGGGGCGAGCGCGTGGGCCGTTCGGGGCCTCTAGGGGCGAGTGCGGGGTCGTAAAGGGGCGAGCGCGGGGCCATAAGGGGCAAGCGCGTGGGCCGACGGGGCTTGAAGGGGCGGGTCGCGGGTCGCTAAGGGGCGGGTCGCGGGTCGCGGGTCGCGGGGCCTTAGAGGGCCGTGAAAACCGAGGCGCCCTAGGGCGCACGTAGGTAGGTAGGTAGGTAGGTAGGTTGTGGTGGGCCCTAAAAAATCGGTCCTAGGAAGGACCTGCTCTATACCATGTTGAAATGATTGAACAGGAAGTGATGAACTAACAGTGAAAACAGTACAAGTACCTAACCCTAGAATTGTGTACCCCCTATAGGCTAACCCACTGTAGCCTAAACAAGCAGAACATATATAATGTTTGACACCTCGTAACCCTCAATCCGAAGTTGCAAGCTACGGAATAGTCCTCCAGTGCTTCGTACAAAAATTGCTTAGACGAGTAAAGTTGACCTTCACACAACGGTGCTCGATCGTCTATGACGATTTGTGGCGAGGGAGCCTTGTCGGCGACCATTTTCCGGAGCAACGCACGGTACATATCGCTTTGCTTCGGCTCTCCAGTTCCAACGAAGCAAAACTCTGTGTCGTCATCGCCTGAGTTGGACTCTGTGTTAGAAGTATATGACGTCGAACTCATTGCGGCAAATAGGAACGTTCTAACTGTAGGCCCTCCTAGATGAACCTACTATAAGGACCTAACTGGTCTAATCAAAGGCTAAGGTAGATGTCAACCCTAAAACGATGAGAAAAAATTGTGTGAGCGATCTCTAGCATATGGGTCAAATGGTAAAGCGCGGGAAGATGGAAAGGGCGTACCAAACCAGATTGAGCGCCTTAATACAAACCTAATTGGCCAGAGTTTAACTCTTGTGCGAGTGTTTTTAGTATATGATTGGCGGGATCATATAGGAAATTGTGTATAAATGAACTCGTTCAAATATGATCGCCAAACCTTAATGGTTGCGCTTGATTGGACGTGCAATGGCCACCATAGCACCGCGCATAAATCTTGACCAATCATGCGCGGTCGTTATTGCTGTGACGGATCGTTTCGGGTCAATAGAAGTATATGATCGCGGTGCAATATGCTCGATCGCTGATTGGTTTGGAATTTGGTCGCGCATTAGCTCGAAATTGGTCGCGCAAACACTATTGTTCGGAATATTTGTCGGTTTCTTGTACAGTGGGCGGGCCACGTTCGAGCCCGCCACCCTGGCGAAAATTTCGGGTGGTCAATGGTTATGTACACTTATGCGGGATAACCCTCGCACGAATGGGGAATTTCGGGGCTACAAAGCCCCGTAGGGTAATGCGCCGAAGAAAAAAAAGCCACCAAGAATCCCCTGGCGTGGCCACTCGAGTCATTATCACCAAATTTGGTGGCCACTCGAGTAATTCGTGGCCACGCTGTTGGAAATAAGAAGTCGCTAGAGCGCAGCGGAAGCTCTATGAATTAACGACGTCCCTACGGCGGGGCTATTGGTCACTCAGAGGTAGCTCTCCTGGCTTGCAACGTGGTGCCAAAGCAGCGGCCGAGGGTAGGCCGGACACAAGCTTGAGAATTGTGTAATATGAGCAAGGCATTACATTCTGTTATATAGCAAACGCATAGGGCAAACAATTACCAAGGCGCAACTGTATAACAGTTGTGCTGCGTCGCTTGGGTTGCCTTGTTACAGTCGCGCTGGCGAGACTTTTCAGCTTCGGCAAGGGCGCGGTATCCTGCCGCGCCCCGCAGGTCAGTTTCGCGTACTGTAGACGATGACTCCTGCTGTCGATTCGACTCTTGAGCTGCCACGCGGGTCGCAACCGCTGTGTTCGGTTGCGGCCCGTTGACTCGCCACCAGGTTCAAATCCCTCGCTATGGCGAGCCCCTGTAAACACACTTCGAACAGTGCACTTATAATAAAAGCATACAAACATATTCTCAACACACGCGAGGGATGGTGAATCACCTTCTTGGCCACTGGAGTCATTCTCTCCGCCATTTCCTTTGTTGCTCTGGTGATGCGGCGTGGATCAGGAAAGCGGGATGACTAGTTGATTCGACTGCGGTATACCCTACGGATTCAAAAATCGGAGAGTATTCAAGTGTTTGTTTCTAATTGCAAAGGGTTTTATTTGTTGGAAACAATAAGTCTTAGTGCGCTTCTACAAATGGGCCCACCACCTGAATCATCATCAGGAGCATCTTCAGGAGCAGGTTCCACCTGCCACTTCCCACGGAGCATTACGTGGAGGAAATCTTCAACGCACCGTCGCATCATTTTGGGCGACTCAGCAAAACGAATTTCAAGGAGTTACAGCAAAGTCCCTGGAAAGGACTTCACAACTTCAACCCGGCAAGATTGCAGCTCTCCTCGTTTCTACACTTCTAACAGTGGAGGGGAGTGTTGAGAATATGTTTGTATGCTTTTATTATAAGTGCACTTTTCGAAGTGTGTGTACAGGGGCTCGCCATAGCGAGGGATTTGAACCTGGTGGCGAGTCAACGGGCCGCAACCGAACACAGCAGTTGCGACCCGCGTGGCAGCTCAAGAGTCGAATCGACAGCAGGAGTCATCGTCTACAGTACGCGAAACTGACCTCCGGGGCGCGGCAGGATACCGCGCCCTTGCCGAAGCTGAAAAGTCTCGCCAGCGCGACTGTAACAAGGCAACCCAAGCGACGCAGCGCAACTGTTATACAGTTGCGCCTTGGTAACTGTTTGCCCTATGCGTTTGCTATATAACAGAATGTAATGCCTTGCTCATATTACACAATTCTCAAGCTTGTGTCCGGCCTACCCTCGGCCGCTGCTTTGGCACCACGTTGCAAGCCAGGAGAGCTACCTCTGAGTGACCAATAGCCCCGCCGTAGGGACGTCGTTAATTCATAGAGCTTCCGCTGCGCTCTAGCGACTTCTTATTTCCAACATGGTATCAGAGCTGACAGGGGAAAACTCTAACTTTTTTATCATTACAAGACATGGCAACAAACAAGGAAAGGAGCTCCCCTAATGGCTCCTCGGGCACTACTCCTACTCCACCGCCAGCCTCTGGCCTGCAGACAGAGGAAGGCACGGCAGCAAGACCAAGGGGAACGTCAACCGAGACCCCCACGAACCATCCTTCTGACTTCGACCAGAGCATGATGGAGAAATTTTTCTCCTTCATGTCCTTCTACGAGCAACACCAGCAGTCGGGACCTGCACAGACACACAACAGCAACAACGGAGCGACACCCATGAGCCTTGACGGATCGTCATATGCGCGAGGGAATCAACAGCAGCAACCCACCTTTGCCCCGTACGAGCGCGGGTCGATCAGCTTCCTGCCTCAACCTTCACCTGCGCAAGACAAACCAATGGACGCTTTACAAGTTCAGTCACAATTCGCGCATGTCCTGAAACTGCAAACATGAAGACCCTTCGACGGAAAGGACTTCTTCACCTGGTCCTTTGAATTCGAGCTGATGATGGAGGGCGCGCAGATACTCGGCTTCTTTGACGGATCCCTGCAGTATCCAGCAAACGGCACACAGTATGAGAAGCAGCAGTATACGTATCAATCGATGATGGCGTATACTATTCTACTGAGAAACATCACACCAACTCAGCAGCAGAACATTCGCTCTTACCGGAACTTCGGCAACTCGGCGGAACTCGCGTACGGCCATCTGAAGAACCTGTATCAAGCAACAGACAGTGTAAACCAGAGCAGGTTAATGGCGCAATTGACAACAGTTGAAATGAAACCAGGAGAAAAGGGATTGGCGTATATCAGCCGATGTCGCGAATTGCGCGACAAGCTTCTTCGATGCGGAGGATCAATCTCTGAAGACGCCTTCGTGACAGTCATCATCGGTGGCCTCGGTCCTCAGTGGCGCGCCACCAAAGCAATTCTTCGAGCCCACGGAAGAATCTCTGAAGCAGCACTTTGCGCCGAAATCCACGCCGAGCAGCAGGACATGGACCTGCAAGAAGAAAGGCACAAGAAAAGGGCATTAGCACCGGAGTTCGCTTTCCATACTCAGCGACGACACAACAACTACAACAACCGACAGCAGCAGCCGAAGCCAGTACCTCCGTTTTGTCACATCTGCAAAACATCAGGACATCCACGCACGCATTGCCCGTCCCGTCAGACAACACCACAGCGACAACTGCGGCCTTCAAGCTCCCAAGTTGCTTCGACACAAGCAAGTCCGACAACCACGATTCAAGCTTCAACGACTTCAACTGGACAACCTGCACAAGGAGCAAGAAACATAGTCAACTGCATGGTCAAGATAAACGATTCTTGCATAACAGAGTCACCACCCCACTACTCACCAGAAGAGGAGCTCGACAACAGGACGCCCCGCCGCGAATCACTCCACCCGAATCCGACTTACGCCGCCATCGCTCAAAGTGAACCGTCCGGCCAAGACACTTGGTTCTTGGATAGTTGCTGCGGGCAACACATGTGCTCGTCCGGACGCTTCGTACAACGCGAA